GGGGCGGAGCCCAGTGGAGGTCGCGCCGGGCGCAGCTGCGGTGTGTGAGTGCTGATGTGTGGGTCTCCCCAGCAGTCCTCCCGCCGTTCTCTCATCTTCACAGCGCTTCAGTCTTCCCGCCTGCGGGGCGTGCGCCATAACTGCCCTCGTGCTCCGGCTTCCCCCGGCCTCTGAGGAGCCCCTGGCACAAGGAGGGGCCAGCGCGGGCAAAGCCGCGGACTCCAGGGGTGATCACTGACCACATAGAGGAGACACCGCGTCCCCAGGAGAAGGCGCCCGGCTGTGCTTCTCAGGGTCGGGCAGGCTTGTTGGAGGGAAACCCTCGAGCTGAGTCCTGAGGAATGAGCAGGAGTTCTTATGTTCCGGGGAGTCACGGGGTGTGGGGCGGTGCCGAAGTCTTGCAGCCTTGAGCGCCACCACATTGGTCCAGAGGAGGTTGCCAGTACCCCGTACACAGAAGGGACACCCTGTTGTCAAAGGAGTGGGAGACTTTAAAGAGGTTTAAAGTGTATCCAGGGAGATCACAAGACGCTGAAGACGTTTTGACTTGAGAGTGCGGCAGCCCCACGTGTTCAGCGCTCACCTTGACGGGTGGCCGGGAGAGGGAGATGACCCTGTCTCCACCATCTTGGCAGGAAGGGCGAGGTCCCGGAGGCTGAGGAGTCAAGCCTGGCTTGAAAGGCATATCTTGGTAGGAAGCAGAATTCTCAAAATCTAAGATGGGGGAGGGTGTTAGGGCAGAGCCAAGGACGACTCTAGGGTGCCCGGATTAGGCACCTGAGCCTAAGGAATGGTGTTAAGTGGCCTTAGCCTTAGGATAAAGTTGGTCTTTTCGTATAATTGTATGAAAACTATTTTCATCATATTTCCAACTAAGAGTACTCTTTTTAATAAAAGTAGTTGAAATGTGACTCATTTTTATTACTTTTGAATACCCACTGAACTATGTCTACAGATCAAAAAAAGACATTGCCAGGCTATGACGCAGCCTAATCTTGGGTGCTAAAGATACAGACTCCCCCAGTAGGAAATAGGTACTGAATAAAAATCTCAGGGGTTCTGGAAACAGGCAAAGCCTACCTGCATTTCAGCTCGATACCTGGGAAGAAATCTTTTTGACTCAGGCAGGCAACAAGACAGCCGAAGTTTGTATCCCTAGAACATCCTGGTCAGAAGGAACTTTAAACCAGAAGTGACCCATTTTACAAGTAAGGAAACAGCCCCAAATAAACTGGTGGATGAAATAATGACCCAGTTCATGGTCGTGGACTTCCATTCTAGTCACAGATACAGAATTTTAAAATCCTTCTACTATGTCAGGGATGACTGAGTACTGAGAGGGGAAAAAAAAAATAATGCAGTACCTGGAGTACCTTAGATAAAGTGGTCAGAAAAGGTGACACTAAACAGGGACCTGAAGGAAATGAAGGAGGGAGCCAAGTAAAGGCCCAGAGGTGGGGCGGGCTCAATGTACTCCAGAAACGGCAAGGCCATGCTGCAGCAGAAGAGAGAAGAGATGAGATGGGGGGAGCAGGAGATGATGTAGGGCTCTGTAGGCTGAGGAAAGGTTTTGGTCTTAACTCAGATGGGACGGCCCTGGAAATTCTGAGCAGAGTAGTGACATGGTCTGAGTTAAATTTGAAAAGAGGCCCTATAGCAGCTGTATTGAGAACATATCTAGGATCTAGAGCTAAATTAGAGAGATGATTTAGGATATGACGCCAATGGTCCTGGTGATAGGCAATGGTAGCTCGGGCCAGGC